TTTATTTTATTATTTCATTTTTTAAATGTCTTCAAGGTAATAAGGTGAGTGGCGTGAGTGATGGGGCGGCACTCTAGCGCCCTCTTTTTGCCAGCTGCCACTGTTGGTAACATTTAATTGTTCCTAAGTGTCTAGTGCAAACATTTGCACTAGAGTGCAAAATGTTGTCTGTTTTGTTTGTCTCTATGTGGCCTTGATAAGGACTTGCAACCTGTCCAGGGTGTCCCCCGCCTCTCACACAGTGACTGCTGGAGATAGACACCGGTGCCCTTCAGGCCCAGAACAAAAAAGCGAGTAAGGAAAATGGATCAATCGCTACAAATAATAGAGATCGTCAAACTTTTCAGTCACAAATAATGCTAATGATTGTGACAACAATCATTTTTGTTGAACATTACAATAAATAAACAAGAGTGTGTTAAAATAAATTATCCTTTACAACTATTAGGCCTAGTTCACTACAAATGTAAAGAAGTTACAGCATAAACTTTAAATTTAATTTGGATTTTTCTAGAGCATCTCTAACTCACAGGGAAGTTGTGGTGCAGAGTTTAGAGAAGGTGGGCCTGTATTCGGAAAGTCGCCGGTTGGACTCTCCGTACCGACAACATCAAAATGTGAGTGGGAAAGGTGAAACACCCATACTTGCCTCCACTTTCCTTGGCCCCATTCTGGGCCCTTGTGCAACCTTTAACCCCCTACTATCTGCTCCTCTGGGCACCCTTGACAGCAGCTCTCTGCTCCACACAGAGGGCTGTGGTAGCTCAGTGGTCTGTGGTTGCATCAGGAAGGACATCCGGCGTAAAAATAATCGCCAAGTCTTCTTGCAAAATAGCTTGCTGTGGTGACCCCTGAAGAAGGGAAGAGCTGAAAGAAGAAAAAATAATTGTCTAACTCAACTATGTCTCAAAATGCATAATGTGATCCCACCCATAACTTCGACAATCAATAGGTTAATCCACACTATCTGATTTATAAATATGGATGCCAGTTTTTGTTAACACTGTGTATACAGCTGTATTAGCTTGAGAAGATGTCCAGAGCTCCACTCTGTCAATCACTGGTATTAAGGGAGACAAAAAACACATAAACATATTCAGCCTATTTAATGAACAACATGTTAATTTTGAACGAACCTTCCTGTTCTGTAACAACAAATGAGTGTTTTGTGGACACGCGTGTGTACATGAGCAGGTCACTGGAGTGTCTTATTGCTAGTTTAGAGCTGCTCGAGCAGAGAAAAGGATGAAAACGTCTGCAATTTGAAACCTTGTTAGGAATTTATGAAGTGCTAAAATGCTTTCTCCCCAGGGAGCCAAGCCAGCTGCCGGTGCCCCTGTGAGCCGTTTAGTGCAGAGCCTCGTCACCAGACTGAGATGGCAAGCGTGATGCACACTGATACTCCGCTTCTTACCAGAAACACAAACTCTGTCTTTCATACCTGCTGGCCTGGCATTTTCACTCTGAAACCAATCAGCTGTAGATTTCTATTCAGTTAATTGGCCCAGCGTTCACTTTATTAACATTCTATCCTCTAGAGAATGCTACCACACAACATGCATTTAATGACATTCACTTTATGGTAATGCTGGCTTAAATTGAAACTTGAATACGATAAAGGCATAAATCCATAATTCATAGTAGTTTATGTTAATTTAATGTCCCCCAGATCACAGGAATAGAAATACAATGATGAATTCAAGAGTGATGACGATCCATAGAATGAACGCGTTTTTAAAAAATCCAAACTAATTTACTTTACATGGTAAAAACAAAATCTAAAAAAAAACCAACCAAAAAAACCCATCCTATTTAGCTTATTTTGTTTTTTTGGTTATGTATGACTTTGACTCGGACTCTGTATTGTCATGTGCTGTTGAAAATACAATAAAATGAAAATATATACAAAAAGAAAAACACAATGAATCAAAAAGGTGAAAAAACATGGTGTTAATTACAAAAATATTTTGTTTTCTCTTTTCCAGTTTTCAGTGAAGATCTGCATTCCAGCCTGTACTTTGTCAATGCATCTCTGCAAGAGGTAGTATTTGCCAGCACCACAGGGACTTCTGTTCCCTGTCCTGCTGGGGGGGTGCCGCCTGCCTCTCTACGCTGGTATCTGGCCACCGGCGAGGAGATCTACGATGTCCCGGGCATCCGTCACGTCCACCCAAATGGAACGCTCCAAATCTTCAACTTCCTGCCATCCAGCTTTAGCAAGCTGATCCATGACAACACATACTACTGCACTGCCGAGAACCCTTCTGGCAAGATTAGGAGTCAGGATGTCCACATCAAAGCCGGTGGGTTGAAACACATAGTGCAAGAGGAGGATTAGTAAAAGTGGTGGTAATAGGAAAAACAAACAAATAAACAAAATAAAGAGTGAGAAACAAAGCAAGACATGGGACCCTAACAATCCTTGACTGAAGGAGTCATGGGGCGGCTGTGGTGCAGTGGTAGGGTAGCCAACGTGGGACCAGAAAGTCAGAGGTTCAACTCCCCGCCATGCCCACATGCCATGGTGCCCTTGAGCAAGACTCTTAATTTCTAACTGCTCCCCGGGCAGCTTAAATAGCTGCCTGCTGGGTTAAATAAAGAGCCCAAACGTTGTCACTGTATAGAAACATACAATGATGACAACATACAACACTTTCACTTTCAATACCTAAATAAATAAGTCTTAAGACAGCACAGTGGCACAGTCTGTAGAGTTTGCATGTTCTCTTCGTGCATGCGTGGGTTTTCTCCGGTATTCCGGTTTCCTCCCACAGCCCAAAAACATGCATGTTAGGATGATTGGCAACTCTAAATTGTCCCTAGGTGTGAGAGAGTGAATGGTTGTTTGTCTCATTTGTCTCTATGTGTCCCTGTGATGGACTGAAGACCTGTCCAGGGTGTCCCCGCCCCTCACACAGTGATTGCTGGATATGGGCACCAGTGACCCTCGCGACCCAAAAAGGAATAAGCGGGTAAAGATAATGGATGGATGGATTAGTAAACAACTGACACGCATCCATTAAAGTTCAAAACAAAAAATGTGCAAATGATGAGAAATCACTGTACTGTACATCAAATACGGGTGTAGTCTAAAGATAGGAACTATGTTGAAGATAAATTTAATTTGGACTGGGATGATGTTTGTTGATTAATATTAATTGTTTGAATTAACAAAGTTCACCTTGAATATAGTTTCATTTATTACATCCAAACTCAGTTTAGTAGTATCTAAAACATGTCCCATTTTCAACAGTTGTGTTTCTAAAGACATTAAGGAACTGCATGGAATCCTCATTACAGTGGCTGTTCAACAACGCTCCAATGCATCATCTAGGAGTGACACTGAGATTATTCTGTCTTTTGTTGAATAGTTTCACGAGAACCCTACACAGTCAGAGTGGCAGACCAGAAGGCTATGAGAGGCAGTGTTGCCGTCTTCAAGTGCATTATTCCAGCTTCTGTGGAGGCCTACGTCACCGTTGTGTCATGGGAGAAGGACACCGTTTCACTGAACTCAGGTACTCCGTTATATTTCCAAAGTATGGGACATTTAGCACTCCAATCATCTGCTGTCACTGCCAGATAAAAATGCTTCTGAGTAAAGTATGGAGGTTAAAGTCCAGATTAAAATGACAATAGCACCGGTCTTATATTTGTACAAGCTATTTCAATTGCAGCTCACATGTGTGATATTCCTCTTTTTGGGCTTTCTCCTCAGACTATATCCATGATTTTTTCTTGTTCTCTCGACTGTTCGGGCTGTATGTACAGTCTGAGTCGTCCTCCTACCTGTTTACTGTTGTATGGCGTTACTGTGGCTCTGAGGCCAGTGCAGCTCTGTCTCCTCACTAGCCGGAGGATGTTGATACCTGTCAGATTGAATCACTGGGTTTCTCTCTCCTGTACGCGCTCCTCCTCAGCCAGCTCCATTTTGAGTCCAGCAAGGGGTAAAGTGGCGCAGTTTACATAGCGTTACCTTCCTTGTTTGAATCCAGCAGCTCAGCGTGATAACACAAGACAGCCGAACATTCAGTGGGTTGAATTTATGCTCGAGTGAAACGGGATGCTTATCTGTTTGATTGCTTCGTGTACCTCCTGCTGGCTGATTCTGCTTCATACGGTGGACATTCGGGGACGTGTAAGTGAGCCCTGGATGTCATTTGACTGGGGGCAGAATCTGGGACAGTGATTTGGTCGCATTTTAAATGCGTCTGCTCAAGCATGAAGATGTCTCTCCTGATCCATGCCACCGACTTATTTACTCCAGGTTACTGGAGTTGCTTGCTGCTAGCAGCAGGTTGACGACATCACTTGATGACACGGAGATTGAGCAAATATGCAGCATGCAGATGTGATTATGTTCTGCAAATGAAATGAATTACAGTATGGAGACATGGTTTACATGTTTATCTCAGCTGTGGCCAGAACAAACAGCTAGCAATCATGAGCATCAAGGCAGTAAGTAAGTAGCTGATATTAATTTACTATACAGTAGGGTCTAATGGTGTATTTGTACAAAAGTGTGTCCCATCCAAGCAATCAGACAAGAAATATGTTAGTCACAAGCAGTCACCACTCTCATCCAGAACAGGGTGCAGATGTTTTTGCTTTTTTAAAATTGCGTTTTTGCTCATTTACTCAACGCAGAACAAGCAGGAGAAGATGCTTCAGTGTCACTATGAGATAAAAATAAGGAAGAAATTTGAGAATAAAGTCATAATGTTGAGGAAAGAATCAAAATGTTGAGAATAATTTAGAAAAATTGTTATAAAAATAATGTTGTAATAAAGAAAATAAAAAATATATTTTGAGTTTGAAGGAAAAAAAAACTATTCAAGCACTGACGGAAAGACCCCCAATAGCCTTTTTTTTTGTCTAAATCTGCCAGTGACTTTATCTATCAAAGTTGGTTTTAATATTGTGGAGTTTATTTCACTTTCAGGATAAAAACACAACATGTTAATAGGCATTAATACTTTTGAGAGCATCTGGATCAGCGTAAAACATAAATTTACAGTAGTTTAGTTTGCATGAGTTTCACCAGAATATTATAATAATAATATTGATTAACTGAATAAAATCTGCTGTTTTGCATTCACTTCCCATTGATTCCCAACTTTAGTCTTAAAACTGGGAGCTTGAAGACCTGCTTATTTTAAATTTGTAATGTAGAAAAAGTCCAGGATATTTTTTAAATCTAAGGTAAATACAATAATGATTATTGCTTTAAACATACCAGATATTTAATAAGAGTCATGTCCATATATCCTTTGGGACACTGTTTACATTTCAAATGGGATAAATAAAACAGAACAATATGACCTTTGTTTCTAGTGAAATTACGAGTTCAGAAATCCTTTGGACTACTGCACTGTGGTGGTGGTGGTGGTGGAGGTGGTGGTGGTGGTGGTGGGGGGTTTCTGCATCTTCTTTTGGTATGGTCATCATGTGTCTAATAAGTGGAACCACTCCCTCCACCCCCCACCACCAAAAGATAACATGAATAAAGATTGTTCCAAAGTTTACGGCCTATGACTGAAAAAGCCCAATCACCTCTGAGCTTCAATCTTGTTTTTGGAACAGCCAAAAGCAGCTGATCTGATGATCTCAGGGCCCGAGAAGGAACATATGGTTCCAGTAGCTCAGAGAGGTATGAGGGTGCAAGGTGTCACAGGCTTGGCTCATATCAAGAATGAGGGGAGACAAAGGTCTGGGCCAATTAAAATAGTTTTATTGCACAAACAAAACCCAACCAAAGATAATAAATATAAATGTGCAAGTATGTTTAGCGCGTTCAGTGTAAGAGTGAGTGGATGTGCATCTGAATGAACATGTCCAACTGGGGAGGCATGATATTGGATTTTTGGCCAATATCCGATATGCCGATATGTTAAAACTTATTTGGCCGATAACCAATACCAATACCTATATTTTTTTCCTAGACCTACTTACAGAGACTGCATATCTTTCTCTGCTGTGGAATTAAAATACTACTTTATTCTGCGTGGTCTTTGTCAATTTGACCTGCTACCAAATGCAGATGCTAAAAAGGGAACTGAAAATGATGCAACACTTCAACTTGGATTATGTTTAATGACAAATTTATTCATGACATTTACTCTAACACAATGACAACACTGGAGCAGTGCAAATTTGTAAATTTGCACAAACCTTAACTCAACGTGTTCACAAGCAACAAGTGAAAAGCGCATTAGTAGTGCATTAATAAATATACTTAACATTTCCTTAAATTAAAAATGAACTTAAAACAGAAGACTTTTATATCGGTGAGTTATTTTGATGGAATGGTCAATGTCCGATATTTAACTTTATCGCTAATATTGGCCGATACGGATATCATGCCGATAATATCGTGGATCCCTATGTCCAACCAAAACCAAACTGGAACAAAGGACAAAAAGAGGTTACCTGGAGGAGCGAGAGAGAGAGAAAGTTAGTAGAGCTCTCTTTTAAATTACTGAGCCCAGGTGGCTCCAATTACTCAAGGCCCACCTCTGCCCGCAGAAGGAACCATCCCTGCAGTCAGAGGAGGGGCCATGACACCCCCCTCCTTAAAACGAGGGTCCCATCCTCAACCCATAATTTTGGCACAACATAAAACCAATTTCCAAAAATGTTCCCAAGATGCAAAATGGGTACCAATCCTGGCTCCTTAAGGGAGGCCATGCATCCTCTAGTCAGCTGTCCATCCCTCCAACTCAACAGCCACGACACCTGAGGAACAGCCGAACAGGAGTAGCAGACAGCCAAGAGAGGAAAGCAAAGGACAAAACAACACAAAGATTAATTCAATGGCTCATGTTTCATAAAGTACCATTTAGGCACGTAAAGTTCAGCAGGACTATTTTAAAATCAGTTCTGACACAGGGAGCCAGTGAAGGGAGGACAAAACTGGTAAAATATGCTCAAACCTACGAGTTCCAGTTAGGAGTCGAGCAGCAGCATTTTGGACAAGCTGGAGACGTGAAATGGAGACCTGACTGACCCCAACATACATCGTGTTACAGTAGTCTATAGTAATGAAGGCATGGCCTGTTTTTCCAGAGGTACGTACAGAGAACTGTTTGTGTGTTTTGTTATGCCCTTAAAATACAGAACATTCTTTCATATACGGTTGTGAACAGTGTTTCTTTTCTACAATTAAACCAAACCTTTTTGATTTTCCTTTCATGTTCATTGACATTTTATCTGTTCCTACTGTATTTTCTATGCCTTTGAGTTATTTTGCAAGCAATAAAAGAACAACAATATTGGATTGTCTGTGTTTACTCCAATAAGCATTGCAGCAAGCGAGTGCTGTCAAAAGCATGAGCACACGGTCAAAATCACTGCTGCTCGGTGATAAATATTTGATGGTAGATTCTGATGCATGAGCGGATTCGCCTCACACTGTTATGGAGAGGGTATGTTTACTCAGTGACTGTGGGTGTGTGCACGCGCTCATGTTTGTGCATGAGCAACGAGAAGAGAGCCACCATAAGGATACCAAACAAAGCTTGACAATAGCATCTGGATGCATTTTGACCCATCCTAGTTCCCTGACTTTTGTTGCTGCCTCTTTTTTCTTCTTCCCCCTTTTCATAAAAGAAGATTCAGTCTCAGTGGACACAAAATAAAGCTATTCTGCTGATGTACTGAATTATTAATCTCAGGTTTTTGTTGGAAATGTGACATCAAGTGCACTTCTCTACCCCTATTGTTCTTCAGAATCAAAGCAAAACAAGTCTTAAGACAGAGACCCAAACAGCCACAAAGAGTAAAAAAAAAAAAAAAGAAATATAGCAATCTAGGTCACTTTATGATCAAAACAACTTAACATATGGCCATTACTGTTACAATTTGATATATAAACGTGTTTTTTAAGGAGTGGGAACTCAGTAACCCAAACCAATGAAATATCAAAGCTGCTGAAATCTCTGATTATCCAGTTATTTGCATTAGAAGCAAAAATAGATGCATAATTACAGACTAGGGCCTGTCTTAATTAATCAACTGTGATTGAAAAGTTAATTACAATATGAATTACCTTTCAGAACAAGGACTGCTTAGTAGTCATTTGAAGCGGCCTGTTTCAATGTAAATGAGCACAATGCAGGCTCACCGGGTCCTAATGTTGCCACTAACATAGCATTAACCTGTCATGAATTTTAAAAAGCATCTCTCAGCACGAGCTTTCAAATGCCCGGCTCCGATCGCCTCCTCGCTGCTTTTAATAAACAATCGAAAGAATTAATAGAGAGATGAAAGGAGCCACAAAAATAAACATACAAATGAATAAGCGAATAAATAAGCAAATGAATAAATAAATAAATCCAAGTAAGAACATCAGTGAGAGGAGTTGAGCCATTTCCTACTGTGTCCCTGCTAGTTTTGTTATAAGTTGGATCTTCATTTAAATGCATGTGCACATCTGTGAATCTGTGCACACACATTTGTGTCTATGTAGTGGCTTTTGTTTGTGTGCTCTTGTGTGTTTGCATGTCAAGTGGGCATGTTTTTGAAAAGGAATAGAGCTGAGGTAGTTTCTTTTTTGAATTTCCCATCTACTGGCCCTTTGTCTCTCGTCATTCATGACGTGGAGCGGCGTAATAAGCTCCATGGCCTTGGTTGCAGACAAGAGCTTTTTATTGGATCTGGAGAGACTTGGTGCAGAAACCTTGTTTCTCTTGGGTATGTTGTGGTGTCTGTGCATAAAATTAGTCTCTATTTGCAGTAATGTCTTTGCCACTTGAGTAGTTTGCCATTCATGGGTCATTTTCTTCTACATTGTTTGTACTGGTATTTTTGACTCAAACTTTATTGGTATTAAAAAGTTATAATCAATGTAATGA